CCCCCTATGGAAGATGCTTATTTCTGGCTTTGCTGAATGTCTGAGAATTTATCTTTGTTTTGTGCCCCCCAATCCCCTTTTGGTTTCTGTTTAATTGTAGGTGGCTCCAGCATCAAAGTGCCCTGCCCTAACTGTCGCAGACACTCAGCTCTGTGTGGGGGAGGTGGACCTGGAGGGGTGGCCTGTGTTGAATAGAGACGCTGAAAACCAGCAACCACAAAGGGCCCCGCGGGACTGAGGAGGCACATGGAGGGTTTGGGTTACCCACAAGCCCCCGCCCCACTCCACCCCACCCTGTTAACCTGCCAGCCATGTGAATCCACAAGTACTTTCCTGATCTGGGGAGGAAACTTTACAGCCTGGGGGCCATAGGCACTGACTGGGCCCACAGACCAGACCTGATGACTGTGCCTACTGACCGGGCCTGGCCTACTTACTGAGCTCACAGCCTGTGCATTTTTTATGAAATAATGAAGACACAATGCTTTTCTGCAGCCTGGGGATGTGTTGCCCTGTGTGCAGTGTGCAGGGTATACTTACCATGGCGTCACGGGGTGGTAAAGGGGTTCGTACTGAGAGACAGACTCAAAGCCTACAGGCCGCCACTGATCAGAAGGAAGTTGAGTGACACATTTTCCCCCAGATGCATGTCTAGCAAGGCCTCCATTACACAGTTAATTATGGTGTACTCCGTCTTCTCTTAATGGTATATATAGCTGGTGCCTGGAGGCTCTGTGGTCAAGCCAAGCCGGGGGGGGGGGCACGGCACCCACCCGACATGGGGCTGTGTGCCCTGACTCAAGCACATGGTGGAGAAGTAACTGGGCAGGGCTGCTCTGTGTGTTTGAGGGGGTGGATTACATTGGTTTGGAGTAGCGTGCTTATGTGGTTAATGCAGGGAGGGGACCCAGCAGGGTGGCACAGGCTGGTGGAGGGAGGTTTGATTCCCACACCTTCTCTGCATTTACACTGTATTTCTACATGTTGTTCATTTTCATTCTTGTGGTTTTAAACACTGACATGTGAGGGACTGCAGCTGAAAATAACACAGCTAAATAAAACCCCGAAAGTCCTCCTGTGTAAACTGTTTGCTGTTGCAAAGACCTGTACCTTTAACAACTGTACTTTTAAGGGCAACTTGTTTTTTTTATTTTTTGATTGGTGGTGTTAATATGACTTCTTCAGAAGTTAATATAACAGCCTGTGCTATTTGCTAAATCAGAAATAATTGAAATAACAGTTGAATACTTCAAATATTGTGTCACATCCAACAATGTAAGGAATGACCCAGAGTGCAGGCTGTACAGGGGTAATCCCTCGCG